TTCCACATTGCAAATCCATCTCTCTGGGGTCTTCCTCTTTTTCTCTGACCCTCCACCTTACCAAACATGATATCCTTCTCCAGAGATTGCTCCTTCCTGACAATATGTCCAAAGTATGAGAGATGAAGTTTGGCCATCCTGGCCTCTAAGGAGCACTCTGGCTATACTTCTTCCAACACAGATTTGTTTGTTCTTTTGGCAGCCCATGGCACTTTTAATATTCTCTCCCAACACCATAACTCAAAGGCATCAATTTTTCTATGGTCTTCCTTATTCACAGTCTAGCTTTCACATGCATATGAGGTTGTTGAAAATACCATGGCTTGGGTCAGGCACACTGTAGTCCTCAAGCTGACATCTGTGTTCTTCAACACTTTACAAAGTTCTTATGCAGCAGATTTGCCTAATGCAGTACATCATTTGATTTCTTGACTGCTGCGCCCATGAGTGTTGATGGTTTATCCAAAAAGAATGAAGTCCTTGACAACTTCAATCTTTTCTCCATTGATAAGAACATTGTTTATTGGTCCATTAGTGAGGATTTTTGTTTTCTTGACAATGAGATGGAATCCATACCAAAGGCTGTGCTCTTTGATCTTCATAACTAAATATTTTAAGTCCTCTTCACTTTCAACAAGCAAGGTTGTATCATCTGCATATCACAGGTTGTTAATGAGTCTTCCTTCAATCCTGATGCCACATTTTTCTTCATATATCCCAGCTTCTAAGATTGTTTGTTCAGCATACAGGTTGAATAAGTAGGGTGAAAGATTACGACCCTGTTGCACACCTTTCTTAATTTCACAGTGTTTTGTTCTGGTTGCATAGGGTCACTGTGAGTCAGAACCAACTTGATGGCACTTAACAACATGCAGAAATTGATACATGATAAATGGAGTAAAAAATTCAGCAAAGTCCTGATTTTTCCATGACAACCTCATCGATATTTTTAATAAATATTGAGTATTAAATTATTTGAAAACTATTTTTTATGCCTTTGTGTGTGTGCCTCTGCTTTCTAGATAACCTAAAATCATGGGCTGAATTAACTATTGAGCAACTCAGAATTGGATTAATGAGTCCTAGTGGCTTAATGGTTAAACACTTGACTATTAGCCCAAGATTGGTGGTTCAAACCCACCCAGTGTCTCCATGAGAGAAAGACCTGGCAATTTAGTCCCATCAAGATTACAGCCTAGAAAACCCTATGGAACAGTTCTGCTCTGTCATATGGAGTTGTTCTGAGTTGGAATTGATGTGGTGGCACCTAGCGACGACAGGAAGATTTTGCAGAAATTTGACAAGGAGAAAAGGAATAATAAATCTAGACCTCGGGAACTTAATTTTAGATGGCCTGGGGTGCAAAGAGAAACTATAGAGTAAGTCAGCCTCTGGTAAAACAAGGCGAGAGCTAATGAGCCTAGACCAGGATAGTGGAAAGTGGGAATGAGCAGTGAACAAATAGGACAGGGTGTATAAAGAGAACTGACAGGAACTGGCAAATCCCTGGAGGCAGAGAATAAAGACAAGAGGAGTCACAGGTGATGATTTTGAAATGATGTGATGATAGAAGGGAGACTGGTTAGCTACTATCTGTCTGTCTCCCTACCCCACAGCATCTTCCTAGAGAATCACAGACTCTTAACATTTACAATCCCTGACAGATACAGAGAACCCAGCATGCAAGTGAAACACAGGCTTAGTTGTGCTTCCTTATTAATTTGTAGTGAACAGTTTCACAAGGGTTTCACACCCATGTTTACCTTGCTTATCGGATAATCTGCCAGAAGAATTTAAGTGAGAAAAGCTGAATTTGAGGCTGTAATGGAATTTACAAGTCAAAGGATCTACCAAAAAAGTGTGAAATCAGAGATTTTAGGGTGGACATGGAGTTCTGGTGAATCATGTCAACATAGAAGAAGACCTGGGGTCAAGGTAAGATCATTGTGAATTATTTACATTTATCTATTGTTTCTTTTTCTTTCTTTTTTATTTTTTAAAAAGTATTTATTGTGGATTGAGTGGAAGTTTACAGGGCAGATCATCAGTTTACATTCAACAAATCATACACTTTGTTTTATTGCAATGATTATAATCCCCTCCCTGTATCATCAGTTAACAGTATTTCTCTCTATTCACTTTAGCTTTTTTTTTTTTTTTGAACACTCAGGCATATATCATAATTTACACCACACCAAAAGACACATTTTGTAAGCCTGCCTCCTGGCCACCATCTCTTAGTGCCTCTCTTCCCATCAATCTAGAGTCCTCAGCTGCTCCCTCTCGCCATGTCCCCATCTCTGCCTCCATCTTTGGTGTCACAGCTTCTCTGGATAAGGTCTCACATTCTGCTTGTGCTCATCTCCCTTGATGGTCCTAGGGTCCTTTGTTTCTGGACTGTAAGATTAACTATTCCCTGGTTTGTTACAAAACGTCCACATTTACAATTGTGACAGTCACTATTAGTCATTGATAACAATTCCTCACTATTGAAACATAAGAATCTTATCCCCATCTCTTATCACCAGACCCATGTAGACAAGACGAATACTATTCAGTGGGGACTCTTTCTTCCCACACACACTATTAAACTAAATTCCCCCTAGAAACCTTTATCACTTCGTGCCTTTATCATCCCCTCATTTTAGGTAGCTGATGTCTAAGTTGCCTGTCCCTATCTACCCTGTGTACAGAAGGAATAGCATTGATACATGATGTGAAGACTCTTTCCCTCTCTGTTAGTAGAGTTACTACCTCCATGAATATAGTTCAAATTCATCAAATTGTAGCAACTTACCCTCATTTCCTTTATCAAAAATTGTTTTGTTCTTTTTTTTTTTTTTTAAATCTTCCTCTAGTTGAGTTCTAATTATCAAGCCATTGAGGCTAGGTCAAATGGGTACTATATACAAGTGTGGGTGTTCTTGTGCAACTCCTCTCACTTCATATCAGCTGGATGCTTCACTCTCAGCTCTAGCCCTCTGTGGCTATGTCCCTGTCCATAGGCTCAGGTGTCCCAGGTCTCACTACACTTTGGACCAACCAGCCCTTCCTTTTCTCTCTCTCATCTCTAGGTCAACGGGAGTCTGTGGAACGTGGTTGAACTCAGCCCATTTCTTCATTGCTGCCTTTCCCCCTCTTCCACTCACCAGTAGGCACCAACATGGGCACCAGCAAGCTTCCATGTCTGCTCATGTGTTCCTTTTGGATTTCAGTCTTAGAGGGGTATCTTATTGTCTCTTATACAAGTAGGATTATAAGTTAGAGGAGGGATGGTTGTAAAGTTAAAGGGAAAAGCAAAAGGACTGTGGGAACCAAGAACAGGAATTCCAAGAAGGTAAAATTTGACCCCACAGTGCAAAATGTTACATAGGGTAGAAGAGGATGTTACTCAGAAGAGATACTGAATTTGAAGCATAATCTCAGGAGCCCAGTGAGGAGATAAACTCATTTCTAAATCATTATACAGTGATGCACGTTAATTGGTTGGTATAACAGGGAAGTAAAAAGCAATATATAATTGGAAATTGAGAGTTCAAATACAGAGAAAGGTAATAGTAACCCAATGCCAGGATCTAGATAATTGTGGGCTTATTAAATTCTAAAAAATTAAGTCTGTATAAAAATTTGTAGAAGAGAGAAAGTATCTTTTCTGATGATACTGTAATGACAGAGCCCTGTAATTGCATGTCACACACATTTGATCATAGTGTTGTTGTTAAGTGCCGTTGAGTCAATTCTGACCCATAGTGACCCTGTATAGGGTTTCCAAGGAGCAGCTGGTGAGCTTGAACCACCGACTTTGCAGTTCAAACAGCTTTGCAATCTGGCACATTAACCCACAGTGCCACACCAGGACTCATGAACATAGTGTATGTAGCTTTAATTCTACAGAACTCTCAGTCTTATTTAATCATAATAACCCCAAACCTTTCCAGACAAGTTCTGAGAACTCTAGAACACTTTGCTAGTATTTCACACAGCTTTGAGATTTTCCTCCATTCCATCACTCCTTAGCCATTACTTTAAGTGCTCTCAAGTCTTTGTACTATTTTTCAAATAACCTTGCCTTTTCAATGTGTTGATTTGTATGGGTAATAACTTTCAGGACTATATGAACAGATTTCCCATTTTTCTGAAGTTCCGGTCACACCACTTCACTTTTAAGAAAGTCCTACGTAAATTAGTACTTGTTTTCATTCACCAAAAGAAAACTGAAAAGGATTTTTACTTTTACCAAAAAAGGTGAAATGTAAAACTAATTTTCGGCATTTGTTTTTCAGAAAGCCACCAGTAATCAAAGAGGCAGCGTGTATTCCAGGGAGCATGGTCGCCAAACTTCTTTCTTGGGGAGGACACTCAACATCTCAGCATCAATTTGTCATAGCTTTTAACTGTGTCTGTGAACACTATGTGTTAGTGTTATTTTAGGTTTTTCACATATTATTTGGTATGATCTGTTAGGTTATTTTTTTATTCTGGTTTTTTTTTTTTTTTTTTTTTTTGTAATGCTTATTTTAGTATACAAAAGGTTTCTTAGGAACGCTTCACTTTCTTATTTCGAGTGTGGGGAGGTCGAGGGCCGGGAAACCCGTAACTGCTAAAGATGCTGTTAAACCCTTTGGGAATTAATAATCTAGGACTCCAAATTTATGACCTATTACTCAATCGCTTAACCACTATAATTATATATACAGCAGATGTTAAGTGGGGAAAAGTCAGTAAAAATCTTAATACGGAACACTTGGTTATTGTTGTTAAAGTGCCCTCAAGTCAGTTCAAATAGCAACTCTCCATAGGGTTTCCAAGGAGCAGCTGGTGAGTTTGAACCCCCAACCTTGCAGTTTAAACGACCTGAGGTCCAGTGCTTATCCTACAGCGCCACACTGGGGGAAGCCCCAAATACTAATCAGTAGATTATGGACCTCACCTTTCTCTCTAGCTGGGGTGGTGTCTGCTATTGCTTATTCCCTTCTCCTGGGACCCCTGACACCACTGACCTGGCCTTGGGACAGGAAGCAGGAGAGGCTCGTGGTCTGGAGAAAGGGGGTTCCACCTACCTGACGGCTGCTTTCCAGGGTGGTACCCGGCGCTTGCGCTGGACTTGAGTATACGGGGACGTGGGACTGGGCATTTGGGTCCGGAGTCATGAGAACTCAGGGCTGGAGGAGGCACCCACGATCCTCCAGGTCTGATCCAAGGCTTACTGTTCTACCGTTAGTGACTAAATGCCAAATTGGGAAGAGTTTGAAGCCTGACTTCTGTGACGTTTGCGTGTGTGACCCGGCCTCACCCATTGCGTTGTATCTCTGACACACTTGTTTCTTCTGAGTGGTTTGGACGAGCTTTGTGGATGCCTGAGAGAGAGAGAGAATGGTCAGCTATGGCAGAGACCCAGAATGGGCTAGAGGACGCCAATTGCAGTCATCTAGTAAGAATTATGTCTTAGCTTTGAGTTCTCAGTATCAACATTTTCTGATATTCAGAGTTTCAGATATTCTGAAACTTATATGTGTCTCTGTTACTACAAGTCATTTGTAGAGTATGGGGACAAATCAGTGCTGTGCGGAGCTATATTGGAATCTGGGGCAAAGAAAAAAAAATCACTACTATTCAAGCTATCTTAATTTAAAATTTGACATATTTTGGTAATGGATGTTTTAGTATTAATTTTTAAAATTGAGTAAGATGTTAATCTTGATTACTGAGTGTTTTGGCACCTCTTTTCTATTTTGAATGGAGTAAATGCCTCATTTGCCTCACCCTACATTATCTTGTGGTGGAGATGAGAATGCTGGCATTAAGGAACCCCAAGACTTCTGGTGTACATAAAAACAGAAAAAAGGTTTTCTCTTGATTGCCCAAGAGCAAGGGTAATATTAGCTCAGTTGCTGGATCTTCTATCCAGAAACTGTTCTGCTGATATACAAGAGCTACATTGATCCACTATTTAGCCAATCTTTTCCAATCCTGAAGTTAGTCTTTTTTTTTAATTGATGATTCCCTTAGCTCTATTGGAACATCTAGCATATCTAGCATAAACTATCGTATATTCTTAATTACCTGATTCTGATTCCTCTCTAACTTGGGAAATGTAGGAGTCAGGATCCTGTCCGAGTCACTACTGCCTTCTGCCAGGACTTAACACATGTCACACAATAAGTGTTAATTGAATTAAATAAGTTGGTTTCTTGGCTCTAAATTTCAACTTGAAGTTTGGGAAATAAGTGTAGTTTTTGTTTGTTTTTTAATGCGTCAGACAACTTTCATTTGAGAAGACTGGTGTTGAATAGAGTATTAAGAAATGTCTCAGTAGAGAAATCGCGTACACACTATTTCTGTATTTTCATAAAATACTACAAAGAGAGGAGGTTGAAGTTCTTCAAGTAATCACAAAGAAAATAACCATCTGAGAACTACTGTTTAGATGGTTTTTATCACAGCAATAAAAATAAGTGAAAGGAAAGGTTCACTGAGACAGTACACAATAATTCACTTGCTTCTTGTCTCTTATTTTGTTGTTAAAAATATAATTTCATATATTATACACAAAAATGTTACATGAAAAAGTAAAAATATATATTAGTTCCATTTGTATACTACACAAATAAGATATTTAGATATTTAGAAACATGCAAAATGCCTTTAGAGAACATCTAACAGAAGTAAACTACTAGCTAGTTCGTTTCTACTGACATTTTATTCTTGATACTTTTATATTTCACATTAATGTATATCCTTTTTACCTTGCATATATATTAAGAAGAAAGGAGAATATAAACCCACCTTTTTCTTAGCAATGGAACTAAGAAACAAATGATAAAGTTTTAGTATTTTTCATTTTCAAGAAAAATTTTAAATTTACAACCTATTTGTCAGTCTGTTGTATTGTTGTGGCCATGTTAGTGGGATGCTGGAAGTGATGCTACTGTTAAATCAAATACTAGCAGGGTCTTCCATGTGGATAGGCTTCAGCAAAGCTCCAGACTAAGACAAACTAGGAATTACAGTCTGCCCATCTACTTCCAAAAGCTAGCCAATAAAAACCTTATGGATCACAACAAAACATTGTCTGACAGGCTTACTTTGAGCATACATACCATCAGGCTATAGAGCAGAGCATCATGACTACCAAGATGTAAAGGTCCAATGAGAGTGTGTTAAACCCTTGCTGAGGCGGAATGGCACAATTGTAGATATGATGGCTTCAAACAAGTTGCTAATTCTGAAACAGGCAAAGTTTTCTTCTGTTGTACATAAAGTCACCAAGAATTGGAGTTGACTGGACAGCTGCTAACAACAAGAACAAAGGCTAAAACAGTACAATTCTAATTATGACATGTCAAGATAATCAAAACACTTTTGGGATAAGATGTCCTTCTTAGGCATTTAAAATTTTTACACCAGAAATACCCCTAACAGAATGAGAACATTTAAGGTAGGATCATAGCCTGAGGAATCCAGTCTGAAATTTTAAAAATGCATGTAAAACGTGCATTCGCCTTTACAATCAATCTTGTCATAATATAAAAATAAAGAGGACCCCTAACTCCCATCAAATCTTTGAGTAATATTTACACTGAAGCAAGACACCCTATGTTTATCCTGTGGCTTTCACTCCCTGGCACACTGCCATTCCCTGCAGGTCTTTGCATACCCCAATTTGAAAGCTCTATCGTATCATGTCTATGGGTTTGGATAAGAAGAAAGAGTCTTGAGCTCCAAGTCAGGGCATGTGGAGTTTAGTCTCTTCCCTGGCATTAACTAGTTGTTGACCGTCTTCAAGTCATTTAGTATCTCTAAACCTCAGTTTCCTCAAGAATAAAATCAATTTTTTTTAAAAATCTATTTTTTAATATTATTCTCCAAGACTTGTAGTATGTATTGTCCACAGCGTAAAATATCCTGTGTGAGATATTGGCTACAATTGCTTTGTTTTTAAATTTTTTATTGTGAATTGAGTGAAGGTTTATGAAGCAGGTCATTGGTTTTACACACAACAACTCACATACGTTGTTACATCTCATTGATTGCAATCCCCTCCATATAATGGCAGTTAGCCCACTTGCTCCCTGTGGTTCTTATTCCCATTCCACCCTGCTTTTCAAACCTTCTGAGTGTTGTCTTAGGTAAAAGTTGCCCTTTTGATATTGAATTGTTGATCATTTGGCAGTGAGTTGTCCCACACTCCCCCTCCCCCAAATAGCTGTCTACCACTTGACTGAAAATTGGACCATGAGGGTAAGTTCAGTTCAGGACCTTAAGGGTGCCTGAGGGATATGAGGGACATTAGGGACATAGTCTTGGGTTCTTCCAATCTTTCTGGCCAATAATCCATTGTTTTTTTTTAAATATAATTTTGAGTTTTATTCCACATTTTCTCCACTCTGTCCAGGATCTTTTAGTGTGATGCCTTTCAGAGCATTTGTTTAATGGCAGCCTGGTACCATTGAATTCTTCTAGTATCAGGGTCTGATGCTCATGTGGTTTCTTAGTCCATTGGGCTAATTATTTCTGAGTGTCTTCAATTTTCATAACTCTTCTTTCCTCCAGACAGGGAGAAAACAGTAGTTGCCACTTAGATGACCATTCATGAGCTTTTAAGATCACCAAAGTAAGATGTAGAACATTTTTGCAGTGCAGTGAACTACTTCATATGTGTCTATTAGCCATAATCTTTGTAACTTTCATCCAACTACTGTTTTCCTGAAGGGTCTGTGTAAGAGAAGGTAGGGAAAGATGCTGATGGATTATATGATTCAGCTGTGAGTGACTGTTCACAGTGTTCAATGTGAAGACTGGGAACTCTAACCTGAGTATGAAATAAGCCATCTCAGAAGCCGGCGGGGGGGGGGGGGATGTCTCATTACCATCAAAGAAGAAGAGCCAAGAGTAAAGCTAGCTCATCCTTTAGACACAGAGATCTCTGCACATTGAACCTTCTCAACTCGGGGACAGAAAGTTGTGACATGGGTGGAGTGGCAAAGGAGTACCAGCGATAGGACCAAGATCCAAAGCCTAAGATAGAGGAGAGGGCTTCTTAGCCTATGGTGCATGTAAAACTGGATGACTTGGCCGGAATGCTTGCTTGCAAAGTGGGGTGCCTCTGGGACTTAACTGGGGGAGCTGTGTTTGCAACCCACAGAATGCAATGCCTTCAGGATGAGATTTATGGTGGAGTGGAGTGTCCTTTGAGGATTTATCATAATTCCTAAAAGCGTTTTGTAACATTGCCTGAACAGGGCAGAGGCCAGGCCAAGGCAGTACTAAGTATAGCCTATCCTGACTAGAAGAACTGTGTCCTGAACATGTCTGCCCTCAATCATAACCTGTTAACTTCCCAACAGAGAAGTCTGGGTGTGATGCTGAAGGATAAGAACTGGACTTTGAGGTTGGTTTGTACTGCAAGGTTGGTGGTTCAAATCCACCAGCTACTCCTCAGAAACCCCATAAAGTTGCTATGAGTCAAAACTGATTAAACGGCACTAAACAACAACAACAACTTCCCTAATAAACCACAAATCTGTGATTATGGTGTCTCAGTTCTATGCAGTCATTGTAATGAATTCTCACCCCAGCAGATTAGAGAGTGCTGTGGGAGGGATAGGTGGTACCGTTATTTTTGCAGTTGTCTTTGTGGACTGTGTTATGCCAGTTGGCCATGGTGTCCACCAAGACTTGAGAAATTTTTGCATTGCAAATTCAGTCTTTCCAAAGTTTTAGAAAATAAATTTCTATTTTATGTATTTATTATGGCAAAAGAAGATTCATCTTCACAATTCTAACAAGTTTGTCAATTTTCCATAAATCTGGATAGTTAAGATAGACTAATAGCTAAATTAGGCTCTGCTCAATTCTTTATCTTTTGACTCGTGATCTGAATAATTCAATAAGAAGCAGAATCAAGCTGGAAGTCACCAGATTTCCGCCATTCTATAGATGACGTCTGAGTCCTGGTGAGGCGCTGTGGGCTAATGCATCAGACTGCAAAGTCATTTGAACTGCAAGATCAGTGGTTCAAGCTCAGCAGCTGCTTCTTGGAAACCCTATTCAGTGTCACTATGGGTCAGAATGGACTCAATGGCACTTAACAACAACATAGATGATGTCTGTGTGCACCTTTGGTAGGCACAAACTATCAAAAATACCT